GCAGAACCGCACCGACCCGACCGGGCCGAGTGATAACATTAAATGTACTGCGGCGAGTGAATTTTACGGGTGTGCGCGATATTATCATACAGGGTGCACGGTACTTTAAACGTATATACATTACGTAAAGTGCGCCCCGTTATATACGCTTACCGCGGTCGGGTGTAGCGCGTACGCGGTGTAACACTGTGGCTCCGGAGTTCTGAAAACGCAGTCGGTCGAAACACGTTTCGAGAGGCCTCCGATAATTCTAAACACGGCCCGTTTCATGTCCGACACTCGCACGCCCCGACCAACCCTCCCCCAACCATCGTCGTTTCAAGAGACGTAGGTGCTGTGAGTTGAAGCGTTCTACCAGTGTGTATAGCTTCCCTCGTCGTTTTATTATATATAAATTTTTTATTACAATTTTTTTAATGTTGTGTCGATTTTCCCAGTTTTCCACCGTTTTTCCCGGTTTTCCAATGTTGTATCCCGGTTTTTCACAATTGCTAGGAAAACGATTGGGAAAATCAAAAAAACGACCTCTTTATAGTACCGCGATAGCGATATTTACTTTTAGAAACATTGCCACCATTAAAAGTTGGAGGAAAATTGCTGGTAGAAAAGTTGTCTACAGAAGAAAAAAATATCGTAAAATTATATTTCTTATGTTTCGTAAATTTTCCGGTTTTTTTTTTTTTTTCGGTTTTTCGCATTTTATGATAAAACTTTTGAGAAAATCGCGAAATAACTTTCATAATGCGTCTCCCCGCGCCGATTTTCGTTCCGTAATTGTACTACACGCAGAAATCCGAGCGGTGCTCCTGGTAGAAAAGTCGCGCACAGATCCAAAAGGCGTCTAAATTGAAAAGTACAAACGCAGACCGTAAGTTCCGTACGCCCGAAACGGAGCGGCCGCCCGGCCGGTCGTTTGAAAGTAATACGGCCCGACTCCGGGGTCCGGCGCCGAACGCCGCGGCCGTACGGACACAAAAGCCGGACCCGAATCGGACGTTTTACGAATCCGCCTCGCGCCCGCCGCGGCGTGTTCCGGCCCCCCCCCCACCCCCCCCGGTAAAATATCGTCGTTTATACCGTACCTACGCGGAAACTCATTAACCCGACCCGTCTGCGGTGTCCCGTGCATACGCAATACCCGATATTGTTTATAATTAATGAGCGGTATCGGCTCGCGCGGGATTCGGATTTTCGCCCTCGTTGCCCGGCGTGTTATTTATCGGCGGCGGCGGCGGCGGCTGCCCGTTATCCGTTAACCGCGACCGGAACGCTGACGGGTCAACGCCGCGGCCGCGACCGCCCGAGAAATCGTTTCGGAACATGATAATAATTCCGACGCGCGCGCCCATTGTATATGTTATAATTGTTAATTTATAAACGCCGTTTACCGGGCCAGTACCTCTGCGCGTGTAACGGTCGACCGACGACGTCTCGTATTAATATTCCGAACAATCCGCGGCGCGGTCGGGATTTCTCAACGGGCGGGAGTTGGGGGGAGGGGAGCCAGAACCGCCCGGAACGTTCTGGACGTTTTGTAAATCGCCGTTGCGCTCCGCGTACCGCGGGGATGCACCGCTGCCAAGGGATAGTACCTGCGCTGTCGTAATAAATCATCGCCGACGAAAAACGGATTCCGTGGGAAGTTCGATCAATCGTATTTTGATGAAGTTAACGATAAACAGTTGGAAATCGTATTGATCCGCGCGTAGACTAGGTTAGGTTAAAGTTGTTTTTTTTTTGCAGTGATTCGGTGATCAAAATCATATTTAATTTTTTTTTCTACACAATATGCGTCTCGCTTGCTCGAAACTCGGTTGAAAAAAAATGACTATTCGCAGAGTTCTAAGCACAAGGATAACACTGTATGATACTCTGTATAGTATACTGCGCGAGTATATATTTTACTGCGTATGTATGCAGTGCATCATTATAATGTTATAACGATTTAAAATTATGAAACCGAGAATATTTCATGCCTACATTTTACGTGGTTTAAAAAATTAACAGTAAAAAATAAAAACATTGTAATGGTCAAAAATAATTCGATAAAATATCAAAGACGAAAAGCGGTCGATACTATTTTTATAATATTTAAAATTAAATACTCGTAGAAGATATTTTGATCTCGAAATTGTGACTTCAAACGTACACAAAAAAGAAAAAAGATAAATCATCACTACGACCGGTGTCGTTATACACGCGATCTGCTGTATCTATATTCGCGCCGACCCAACCAGTCTACTGATGCACACCGTAAGTGCTCGACTGTCGCGACAGTTTGAAAATCCGCAACCTCGATACGTCGATCGCGAACGGGGCGATAGTGTAACTATATCGAAACGTCGCGAAATAAACCGTTGGAAAATCACGCGCGACAGTTGACAGTTACCACCGCGACAGTTATAATTACGATTTACAATAACCGCGCGGACACGTACACTGTGGTTGTGTGTTGCCGTCCCCGCGACCGTTGTTATTGCGCTATTGCCGTGAGCCGCGACGCGAAACTATCGCGACAGTAGTACAACCATAACATTACGGGATTTGTCCGTACTCAACGACGTCTTTTTACGGAATAAAATAATAACCGTTTGCGCACGAGCGTCTATCCACACACAACACACATATACGTACGTATATCTTGTATAATATATTGACGCAATTATAATTTATACGCGATACATTATCGTTATGATTTGCAATCGGAATGCGTTATTATTATTATAATAATAAAATATAACAATATACACGCGTGCTGCAGTCGGTGCACGCGGGGCGTGTGTTGCAATTTGTTCTCGGCAGTCCGTCTTCCGTTTGGCCGCACGTCGTTACACATAGTGTATAATACGATAATATTATTATCGTATTACCGTAGAACAATGTGACCGGATCGTTCTCCGTTCATAAATCAAAACACCGCGCGGCGTTATAAACAGTCGACGGTGTATTATGGTCGCTGTGTGTTATACTTGGTACACGCGGTTTGATCGCGGCGGCGGCGGAAGAGCAGAAGGCCGGCGGCAGCTATAACCGCGGCGAGGGGTCGATTTCGAGTGCGATAGTACAACAACCGCACACGCGATATTATTATAAATAATATTTGCGAAATACCGTATATTACGCACGCGCGAGCGGTGCGGAGCGTTGTTCAGAATCGCAAGTGTACGCGGATTTTAAGTACAGCGCGTGTAGTGCAATGTAGGGTGTAACACGGGCGGCGGAATTCGCGAGGAAAATCGTTTGAATCGATACAATACGGTGTGTACAGAGTGACGTGAGCCGGCCGTTATCGACGTACCGTTATTTGTTATACACGCGGAACGGATTCATATTATGTAATTAAAACAAACAAAAAAAAAAGAAGCTGTCCCAGGATAATGGATTCGGGCGCAGCCACTGTTATAGGTAATTTAATAGGTATGCCTGTAAGCAACGATAAACCATTGCTAAAGAAAAACCGATTCTGAGCGGAGTTCAATTGATAATGATGCTTTGTCAACAATATATATGTATATGTCATAATAATAATATTCGTTTAATATTGTACCGGTTTTCCCGTTTTCTCTACGTTTTCCCGCGTTTTTTTTTTTCGGTTTTTCACATTTGCCGGGAAAACTCCGGAGAATAATCGAAAAATGAACTGCCTAAAGTACCTGCCCAACAAAATGACCATTCGGAAAAGTTGCCGCATCGTATACGCCGGAGCGAAATTTCTGGTAAATAATTTGACCACAGATAAAACAGTTCTTAGAAACCATAAGCTTCTTCGCTGCACTCAGAATCTAAAACCGCACATAAATACTCCAGCAATATAATTTATAAAATATGCGCGAAAAAAACATCGAAAACATACGCGGGGAAAACGCTAATTTTCGGCATCTTCGCGTGATCAAACGACACGGTTATAATATTGTTGTAAATTAGAATTAGAATCGTCTAGTTTAATTTGCGTAAGCGCGGCCGTAGCCGAACCGATTGCTGTGCGCAGTGTATTGACAAATCTTAAATTAATGTTTTTTTTTTAAATACGAGATAACGAATGAGAACATAAATCGCCGATAAACGACAATTGATAAAATACACTATTACGTACAGTTAATGATTAAACGCCAAGTATGTGTCAGCATATTTACCAACCAACGATTTATTGCGTAAACGTAGAACGCGATTGTACCAAAACATGTGAAAAAAAGTTGGTGTGATTCTAACGAGAATAACCGTGAACATTTCTTGTCGGGCTTTAAACAACGATGTACTAATAAAAACAAGTATTTACGTGTAAATTCGATTTTGATCTTTCCAAGGATATTAGAATATTTTGCAAATGTCACATTCATCCACGTACACCTACGACATCGATCAACGCGTATCGACTATATTGATTTTCAAGCGACGGCCCATTGAAGACGAAGAGTGTGCCATCAAGAGAAAGCCCGCGGTTTTTTGACGCCGCGGAGTAAATCGAAATGAAGACGTACAAAGACGGACAAAGGAAAAAAGATACAACGTTGGCGAGTATTATAGAAAAAAAAAAAAAAAAGAATAACGTTATACGTACGGTTGATAGTGAAAAGTCGTCGAAAGTTCCGAAGGTGTCGCAACCAATCGAAGACTAAAAAAAGAAAAAAAAAAAAAACTCGTTATTGTTTTTAATCGTATTTACAATAGAAAACGTTTTTCACGTAACGTTTGTTATTCACGGTAAATTCTAAACTCGCGCGCGTAAACACGAGCGATCTGTGAAAACGAAATCTGACGTGCGCGGTATTTCAGTATCGGAAATATCGTAAATAAAACCGTCGATAATAATGTAACGCGATGTATGTAAACAATAAATGATACGACGTATAAAATACGATATCCTAGAGTCCGGAGAAACGAAACGTACTCCGTAATCCGCGCGCGTGCAAACAGAATCGCGAGCGGTTCGCGTTGAAATAATAATTACCAAATGTCGTTGTCGGATTTCCGTTCGGTAAAACCGATTGACACGAACGAATATGGAAGACGGAGATTGGACGGCACACGTGACGGCCGGTCTCGTCGACGGTCGATCTGGATTCGTACCAGGGACCTATGAGAATAGCGCTCCCAGTGGCCGCCGCCGATCGATAGCCGCCGAAACGACGAGTCCGCCGGCGACGCGACCGCCGGCCGGCTGCGGCCCTGGTACCGGCGGCTGTTCGCAGCGACCGAGAGTACTTGGAGACTGCGTGGCCGGCGTATGTTGGAAAAGCGGTCCAAAAGAACGCTGGATATGTTGCGTCTAACGCGTTAAACGAATTTGCCGCTCGCCCGCGTCCTATATCGAATCCGTCGATTCAATATATTTTCCAACAGCTTTCAACATTTGTTTAAAACCTTTTTTTTTATACCGAATGCATACAATTGTATACAACGCAAATTTCTCAATAATTTATGGCCGCAAAACGAATGCTTAGTTTTCGCGTTAATGTAAGTTAAATAAGTAATTAAATTATAATACATAATAAGTTAAAGAGAAAAAAATTTAAAAAGGTGTTAAACATTTTTTTTTTTTTTCTATTTTTTTCGTGTTTAGATTAAGTATTTATTAATTTTGTGAATAATAACGCTTTACTATAATAGCCGACCGGTACCTATTCACTGAACGATGTTCTAGATGTTCCGGTGTTCGGTTAAAAAATCAATACGATTTGCATTTAACGTAAAACACGAAATTTGCCGAATGACGGCGGCGGCATAGCGCATGTATTTATGTTTTTTATAATTAGATTACGATAATATATTGATATTTACATATAATAATAATGATAAACTACGTAAATTAAATGACGACGCGCCCTGACTGACCGACCGGTTCATCATCACCTGGCCCAAAGCATCGGACGGATCGGGCCGAAATTCCGCACACAGATGGCCATTACGACGTAGGCGATTGCTGAGAAAGGATTTTTGAACGTCCGACCCCTAGGGGAATTCGCGGCCCCGGTGGATTTCTCGCCCCGCACCACGCCCGAGCCAGTCCGCCGCTGGCCGTCCGTACACGGCCAGTACACTTAGTTTCGGCGGTTACAGTGATTAGCGTTTTACTCGCGGCTACCGTCCGACCGCCGGGTATTGTTATACGAAAACAACGCTGACGCAGAATAAGTTTAACCGTGTCAATTTCGATTTCGGAGTACCCTATAACGAAATCTATTGAGAACAATATTCGAAAAACAAAATATTCACGTTAGAATTTCGTTATTAATCGAATCCTGGATCTTTTCGAGGTCGAGTTCCGACGAGTGTTGCTGTCGGCCGTCGGTTCGGCAAAGTTGGGAACCCGCGTGAAAAGTCCCCCCCCCCCCGGACAGGAGGTACGCGTCGTAATAATATTTTATGTATCGAAAAAAAAAAAAAAAAATACTCGTCTACTCCTCCGCGTGTCGGTAATGCTGTTATTATTATCGTTGTTACGGTCGAGAGTATAATTCGTTTTGATAACAATCGGCGTCGTCGTTGTCGTCGGAGGCGGTGGGCAGGAATAAATAGTGACGCGCGTTCCCTTCCGTAGCCGTCGGCCCCGGCGGCGGCGGCGGCGGTCGGCGCACACGAGGAACTCTTGCGCTCGGAACGAGACGACCGCACGAGTCGGCGGTGTTGTTTTTTGGGTTTAGCAGTTTTTCGCGCGCTCGTTCGCCCGGCGATTTATATATAATCCGATTTAGAATATACGCGTATATATTATTATTATTATTATTGTTGTTGTTGTTATTATTATTATTATTGTTTCGTTCTGTATACGGGGACGGACGGGGACCGTCGCCCTCTTTAGCCGGCGGTCGGGCGGAAGTGCAAAGGCGGCGGGCGGCGGTATACAGTGGGGTAACGTAACGAAAATATCCGATGAACACATCAAACGTCGTCGTCGTATATCCGCGGCCCGGCGGCCGTTTGTCCATTTAGCAAAAACACTACGCGAATAAGCTCGTCGCGCGCGGTGCGCTTTCTACCGTGCAGACATAACGAATTTCATTTTACACTGTTACACCTCCTTTATGACGACGACGACGACGACGAGTGTGACGCACAAAGGCCCCGCAAACTGCACGCGCCCTTCGCACGGCGGCCGTCTATTAAACACTATAATAATATATTACAGTGCACGATGGGGTCGACGACTAAAATATTAAACGCTTTTATCTCTCCGCGCGTTATATTTATTTTTTTGTCATATCAGCGCCATAATCTCCCCGCAAAGTATACGTGCGCCGCTTTTTACCCGAAATCGACACGTAGACACTATTACGGGCCGACCCCAAGAGACGACTAATTAAAATTATCGCACGATCGTCGTCGCATCGCGCCCGTGTTCTCCCGTCGAATCAATTTATTCCCGTCGCTCCGGCGCCGAGGCGCCGGGAACCGAACGAGAGGACCGACAACGAGCCACGCGTCCAACAAGACGAGAAAACATGTCCGTTTCAAAAGTCGCTATACACACGGTCACACGCGCAATAATACCATCACGCCGATAATAATTTAGCCGGGCTATATTGGCCCGTGCAGATGATATTGTTTTCTTATTAGATGACGACGAGAAGATACAGTCTCATCGAACGGAATTATCGTAGAAAAACTTTCGGACGCGGCAAACCAAACGGGATTAGTAAACGATTATTATAATGATAAAACGGAATATATCATATGTGTATAAATTATACTGGCCGACCCGGCAACGCTTTGCTATTGCTAGATAGTAGTGTACATAGTAGTTGGGATAAAATAATAGTTTTGTTGTCCGTGATTTGTCATTCGTGTCGCCGAGATAACTATTGAACAAACAAAAATAAATCAATAAACAATTAGATTTTCGTACCAAAAATATCTGAACACCTTTATTTTACTGCCTTAAGGGTTGAAAAAAAAAATCCTTTTTCAACAAACGCCCACGTCATAATAGTTATCCGTACGCTAAATTTTAACCCCGATCCGTCCAGTGGTTTGGGCTAGGCGACGGCGAATCAGTCAGGACGAGTTATTTTATACACAAAGAAGGTATGCATATGATCGTACAGAGAATAGAGATAATATGTATCGTACACGCACACAGATACCTGAAGTTCCGTGTTTACAGATTCACGGTATGAGATTTTACGTATTTTTGATTAATCTCGATCAATTAATTGAGATAAAAGCGAAACTATACGAGTAGCGAAACAGTGCTTTTTCGAGTTAAATAAATTACTACACGGGCAAGAATAGTGTCACGGAGTCTGGATAGTCAGTTGTACCGCGCGCTTATTCGAAGAATAATCGCCGGGCTTTGTCAGGATGAAATACAAGGGAATGCAGAACGCAATGGGCGCGGACAGTGTCGCATCGGATATCGGATACAATCGTTTAGGTCGGGGAAAAAAAACCGACTACGTTAGACGAATGTTATGCGGAGGAAAAAATAGAATCCGACACGCGCTTTGTGCTCTCGGAAAGTTTGCCAGGGGGAAAGAAACCCGCGGGACGTTCGAGGACGATACGGAAAGATCCGACGGAAACGGCGAAACCGCGGGACCGGATCGACGCGATCTGCAGACGATCGACAGGACGGAGTGGCGCTGAGCGCGTTCGATAGCGTCGGATATTAACGGTGGTGCACGCCGCAGAGAAGAGGCAAATGTTATTTTTTTTTTTATAACGACACGCCGAATCACGGCCAATCGCACGGACTCCGCGTACTCGTATGCGTTAGCGTCGACATTATTGCGGTCTCTTTTACTCTTTTAACCCTCCGCTGCCGGACACCGCGGGCGCGTGCTCGCGTGTCCGCGCTCAATCAAAACTCCGCGCACTCTACGGCGCACGCGGTTTTGATTGAAACGAAAACGTTCCCGAACGCGTATCCGTGTAGGCGGATGTACGTGGTTATTGTGTACGGGCGCGCGCATCAACACGTAAACGCAATAACTTATCGGGACGGTCAAATCGTTTGTGCGGAATGTTATAATTTATCATGTACACCGAAATGTCCGAAATTATTATACAACAAGTGTTCCTCGACGCGCATAATGCGGTCGGCGCGAACGGCGTAATAAATTTCGCGGGCGAAGCGAACGATGAATATTATTAAAGAATTTCGAACGTTCGGGTAACGTTCGCGCGTGTAGTCCAGTACGACGCCGGGGTCCGGCAAGACGTTTCGGAACCGCCGTAGCGATTTCTAGGTGTTCGGTACGAGCGTGCAATTTCACTGTTAATTGGACAAATTTGCAAAAGCAAACTTTTTACATATTTATGTATAGCCGATAGATGGTTTGGATTCTGGGTGAACGAGGAACGTATTGGTTTTACCGTGAGTTTTTTCTTTAACCGAAAATCGTGCTCCAATCAAATACTATATTTATAAGCAATTTCATTTCCAATCTTGTCTCCGTGGTTGTTTCTTATTAAATGGGAAATTAGCGAATTTCCGCATAATGTTTGTGATTTATGGGTTATCGGACCAAAATAACACATATGACAAATAATTCTCTGCTCAGAATCGGTTTTCGTCAGCGACGGTTTATCGTTGTATACATATATAAATTCAATTACTCTATGTACCTTACCTTTCGACTTTTGTTTTTCTAAAAAAACTGACTCACCCATCGGCAGTATCAGCAGATCAAGATATTTACCGCCTATAAGCAGAAAGAAATTCGCCATTCTTTTGCTATATACAGTTTCGTAAACAAAAACCAAATTAAATTTTCAAAGAAATTTACTATTAATTACGTTATTTTAAAATATTTAAAATGAAGATGAGCGTATAATATGTTCGCTATAAATAATAACTAATGTACCGTTCAAGGGTGAGGGGAAAAAATGTACACAGATTAAATTATAATTTTTTAATATCGTAACATTAAAAAGTCAAAACAATGAAGTGGAAAATACTTCAACGTTTAAAATGTATTATTTGTATATGTTACCGGCAATGTGGATAATTCGGTGTTTTGCGAAATGCCTAGGCATTATATAAAATGCCAAAAATCACTCGGAAATGTACACAATACGAGCTTTGCCTAGGTATTATGCGTGATGCCGGAAGTGAAGTAGGAAATATGATCGAAATAAACAAAATCGGGTGTTGTCTATTATTTTCAATCAATCTGTTATGATTGATGTAACGACTTATCGTTTATCGTAAATGCACGTGCCGTGTGATGTGCACGATTTGACCCGATAAAGATAAGAACCTTAATCTTTATTGCATCATACCCTACTATAATAGGATTTTTAAAATGTGTTTGTAAAGACCAAGTGTCAA